GACCACCCTCTGCCACCACTCGCCTGATAGTGGTGTGGAATAATAACAGCAACACGGAACACGCAAAACAAACGAATGTAAACAACAAGAGATTTTTCTATAAAGTTTTTTTCCGACTTTTTTCGGCTCAGCTTTCACCAAGTCCTGATTTTTTTTCGGTGGTCGCAGAGCATAAAAATCAAAAAAATAAATAAAGAACACAGGAAAAAAGTGAATTTATTTTATACGTTCACTGCTCGTAAAAATCAATGAAAACATTTGTCAGGACAAGCTTTTCTGGCTTGATGGCCCACCTTGCCAATCTGCCACAGGGATGGGGCTGTTGGGATCGGGGGTGGAAGTTGTTCCAATGAAATGCCTGCGAAAACTTTTCCCGAGCCAAGTTTCGTATGAAATTTGTAGCCAGTGGAACCGGAGGGAAAAATAAGAGGAGCCAGAAGCGGGGAACTATAAAACTTGAAGTTTGAGTTTCTTTGAAACTGTTTTCATTTCTTTATTTATTTTCACTCTCCTTCGCCTGCCTTCGTTCTATAGGTGGAAAGGAATGTGTTTGATGCAAGTCAAGTTAATTGGATTAACACTGAGGTTCGCACACACACACACACAACCAGTGTTGCGAAATTCGATTTATGGTCAAAATGATTTAATTGCCATACATGCCCAAAAAACTGAAGACGAAGAAGCTGCAAAGGGAATTTAGTAGGATTTTTTCTTTTCAGTTGTTGTTTGGCTTTTCGAGTTTGGTAATGGAAGTTCAAAGCGGGATAAGGAAATTGCAAAGAGAGATGTGCCGACAAATGGATCTTGGGCTGGGAAACTTTGTCACGCACTTAGAAACTCATTTCAAGTGCGAGCTAGCTTGTTGAACCATAAGATGATAGCAAGGGTTTCGGGGCTTTTTAAGTAATAGACAAACTAGATTGAACTATTCCATTCGCTTCACATATTTTTGTTAAATTTTAGATTAATATCGATGAATCCAACATTAAGGTCCAGCAATGGTTACTGACAACTTCTTGTATCCACCCGGGGGCGCCATAAAACTGTTAAAGTCTTGTTACATTTATTTGAATGCAATTAGGAATTAAACCCACTTAAAATTGCTTTTTAAAGTGAACCGAACCCAAAATGTTAATTTACCTTAAGTGAAAAGTTGTTCTTGGCAAAATTGTGTAATTAAAATGTGTTTCCTGACTGAAGCTCACTTGAAGACATGTACCAACTCTCCTTGAAACCCATCTACGGGCTTCCATTACATTCCACCCCCATCTTTGCCGTGTAATTTGGTCTACCCCCCCTCCTCTGGCCACAGAAAAAACTCATTTCGTGTAATTAATTAAAGTGACCCCAGGAAAGGTCAACAACAAAGCCAGCAAAAAGGGACAATACTCGTACTGCTGCTTACTTTGTGACTACTTCTGACACGGCTCAAGTGCATCAAAGTCGGAGGACCATTCGGGTCTGTCTGGTAATTTGATCAACTCACTACGCCCCTTCCCCTCCCTAACGCGTTGCCGTGCCTTTTGTTTTAAGGACATAACACATTTTTCCACATTGCTGAGCACTTCTTCCAGCGGTCGGAGGTGGCCAGCTAATAATTTAGTTAAGTTGGGACTAAGTCAGGTACGGCTTCACCGTGTTCCGTCCAGTGTTTGTGCACCTTTTCCCCCAGGCATATGGAAATCGGAATCCCATCAAATGTAAGCGTAGCTCAAGTTGCCTTCGCCACTGCCATTGCCATCGCCTTCTGGTTTTTTATTCCTCCCCGTACACGAAATAAAATTAGCTCAATGAGCATTTGTGCAATCAAGTGATTTTTAAACAAGCAAACGGAAGGGGTTTCGGGGGTCGGCGCAACCCCTGGGACGTGGCGAAAGGGTTGTCGGTGATATACGCCACGGATACGGGCGGAACACAAAGCCCAACCTCAACCTCAACCCCTTAGGGACGGCGGGCTGTGGCAAATAAATTTCACACATATTTGCACACTCATACGGGGCCGAGAGTGTGTTCAATAATTTTTTTTCCTTTCTTTTTTTTTTCATTTAATTTTTTTTCGTATACAAGGTCGTGTGTTGGTTGATTGTAGTGGAAACGAGTGGGAGGAGGGGACAGTAGGGGAGTTCCACTGTACAGTAGCTCGCAAAATAATAGTATTAAGTGCACTTTCTAAAGCCATTACTTAAGCAATTGAAAATAATAAAATCTTTAGCGTAATTCTCCATTAAATAGGTTAATGGATTTTAATATTTTCAATTTTATTATATTTAAAAGGAAGTAATTTTATTGGTAAGCCTCAAGTTTTTTTTTAGAATGTGTTCAAGGTTTGTACTGCTATTACACTAGCTTAAGCTGTGTATTGTAATCGCCTGGGTACTACATATATGAAAATTCCGTGCCTTGGCTGCAAGTTTGTTTATCTGTGGGCAAACAGAGCACCGCTTCCAACGAAAGAACATGAGTCATGACACAGTAGCCCAGAGAAAGGGTTACTCTTGAGTTTCAGCTGCGGGTCTTCCGACATCGGAGCCCAAAAGTACAAAAAAAGGAGAAAAGAATGAGACCTTTGCATGTAGGACTTCAGTACGGTGGCGGTTTCTTTGACGATTAATTTGGTACACAGATCATTGATTAACAATTGGCCATTGATTAGGGGTTGCAGAAAAATCAAAAAGAAAACAAGGAAAAATCAGGGCAGCTTTTGTTCAATAACTATTGATTAGGGTTACACATAATAAGCTCATTTCTTTGAAAGCCTTATGCTTGGGAATTTATTCAGATTTTTTATCCCCTTGCAGAGGTCAAAAGTTTATAACGTAGTGAAGACTTTTCCGACCCATACATATATTGTTGATCGACATCACTTTTTGTTTTAACTTGGCCAGCTGACAACATATACTATCAATTCCAGGTTGATTTGGTAATATTTATTTTTCGAACGATTTTTTGCAAAAATTGGGCCAAAATACAAATTTTTAGCTGAGGATCTGTGTCCTCCTGGACTGGAAATTTTATAACGAATTCAAATAGGTATGACATTCCCACATTTAACCACTATTTTACAGGGTTTTCATTAAAAAGCCGAAAAATCGAGCTGAATTTTTCCGGATTTAGGCCAAAGTGTTTTTTCTAAGGGGAAAAAATGATAATTTTTTTTTTGGCTGAGAACGCCATTTGATGTTTGATTTTTTTAATTTGAACACAATTCATTGTTTTGTTTTGTAAATTTCGTACCACAAATTTTTAAATCCTCTGAAAAAACTGTATTATTAAGGTGGGAAATCCTTTCAAATAAAGGTAGCTTTAAAGTATTTTAAAGGTGTCAGAGCTGTGAAATTCAACTGGCGACATTCCTCCGCTCATCATCTTCATCAGCGGCATCGTCACGATGATCATTTTCGTCATTTGCACAGGTTACATTTTACTTCTTAGGAGCTTATTCCTTATGCCTGCTTTCTTTTTACATTTTTGTCAATTTACCGCGAACTCGAGTCATTTGCAAGCCGCCTTAGTGTGTGCGCGTGTGTATGTGTGTGTGGAAAATTGTGGAGGGTCGGAAAAGTGGGGGTGATGTGGCAACGGTAGCCGCATGTCACATTTGCCGCGACACGATTTCCTCTGACTTCCCCCTGGCCCCTCCCAACCACAACACATCCTTATTTATTCCTATTTTTATGTGCATAAAAGGAATAAAAAGTACAGCAAATAAAAAAAGAAAAGTAAGAGAAACAGAATCGCTAGCAACTGAAACCGAAAAGGGAAAATAAAATGGCAAAAGGCAAGCAGTTATTCTTGCTGCGCATTTTCACTCCTTCACCCCATTTTCCCAACAACATTCATTCGCATTCCTCCCAATTGTGTTATAAATTCAAAAATGAATAACGCACGTTTGCTTGTGGTTTGAAATTCTATTTTATTTGTATTGTGTAAAATGCTTTCACTTTTTTCCATTCTTGGGTTTCATTCTTGGCTCAATTAAAACATTTTTGCAATGACATTTGTGGGGCTTGACTGGGAACTGAAAATGGCCGGACTTTTGTGACCAAACGCTCCCCATTTGGGTTTCTATTTTTCCATTCTTTTTTGTTCATGCGGCTTAAGGAAATTTTTTTATTACTAAGCATTTTGCGGGTTGCAGTGGGAGCAATTTCGTTGATGTAGTTGTTCGGGGTTTCCCGGTTGAAAATTAATAGCAAACGGAGTGGAGAAATGAAAAGAGGGTTTAGTTACATAAAAGTGGTAAAATTTAAAAACATTTTAAAGGTGAACTTTTATACTTTTCCTACTTTTTATTAAATTGAATTGTCATTATTTAATCAAGACTTCGGTTTTCCTGTGCTTATCAATTGTAGAGGATAATGCTAAAATTTTCTACTACCAAAAAGCTATATTTTCCCACAATAAACTTCAATAAAACAGCAGTTGAAATACATTCCCAAACTTGGCAAACTCTTTCTGGCTCCAACTAGCCACAATTATCCTTGCTTACTGCGAGAAATCTCAATCAGAAAACGGGAATCCCAGAAATCTGGGGCCAATCGAGTGAAGCCGAGGCAAAGTTCCATAGACAAACGGCATCAGAATTTAATTCAATTGCAAATCCCATATCATCCCCAAAAAGTTGAGAGAAACATTCAATTATGAATTCTGAGAAAAGCTACAAAAAAACCAAAACACACACACACAAAAATCGAAAAAGGAAGAGGATAAACTACAGAAAACTGTTTTATTTATCCAACATTTGACTTTGAAATGATGGAAATGCTAAAGCTAAAAGGAAAACCAAGGGGAAAATTTCATTTGGCCCGACATTGTAAGTCACATTTGATGTACAATGCTGCTGGTCGTTTTTTCTGACGGAGTCCTTAGCATTTCCATCATTGATGGAGTTTGTTTTCGGGCATTTTCTAGAGTTTTTCTTCTATGGTCTGCATAAAATGTATGCTAATTAAATTTTAACTCAGTACTAATATTTTCTCGTATTTTGTATGTATTTTCAGGTTCAAAATTCGGAGCAAAAAGCGTAATTGGAAAGTTTCTTTAAAAATTTCGGTAAGTGGAAAAACACTTCGAGGGAAAAGAGAGACAAGACTTTTTTTTCCGGGGAAATCTTTTATCCAGCAGAACCTTTTTCTTCGCTGATACTAAACTTATTGGAATTTCGAAAATGATAGCGTTGACATGAAAGTTTCTTTGTCTCCACAATCCCTCCCACCACACCCCCCGCCCATGTCATCACCCAGATTTTTTATTTTACTTTTATTGTGTTTTATGTCGCAACAGACACACAAAAAAGTCAACCCAAAAAAAAATCGGCTTAACGCACTAAACATAGAGAGGGAAATTTAAAGAGCAACAATCCGAAAGATACGTATCTTGTGGTCCCCCAACTAATCCCCCCGTCCCCCATTTCTCCCAGTGTGCGTGTGTTTAACTGTCTCTTCATCAGCATCTCCAGCTCAATATTTCTGATATGCATCTCATCGTCTGCCAGTGTGTGTGGCTTTTTATTGTGATTGGGGGTAAGAGGTTTTCTTTTATTCTTTCGTCTCTCTTTTTTTGTATCCATGGCTTTTCCGAAAAGATACAAAACGTATCTGCAGCTGGCCGCCGTCCGCTGAGCATTTTGTTTATGATTTGTCAAGATCTTTGGGCCGGGAAAATGTGTTTTAAATTGCCACAGCATTGGTCGATAAGAAGCACATCTTTACACAGGAAAATGTGGGAAATATCGAGGGATTGAAATGATTATTTTTTTCTTTATTTAAATAGTTATGCGAGGGTTACATATTAATTGTTGAGCAACGATCAATCTTTGTTGGAAAGCCGACCCTAGTCCCAGCCTCTAGTTTTAGAATTTAGTTCTAGCAGGATTAAAATATGTTGTGTGGAGAAGGGAAAAGGGGTGAGGTTTTCCTGGGCAAACTGTAAATGAACCCACTCCCTTTCAGTGCTAATAAATTCACCTTTTACCGCAAAATATTGCCCAACATTTGCGAAAGACAAACAGCTCGCTGCCTCTTATTCTCCGTCCTATATCTATCTCGCTCTGCTGTGGGCGTAGTGCCAACATAAATCTCTTGAACAATCTGCCGAACCATCCACCCCCCCACCTCCACAAGATTTTCACACAGCATTTTCCTGCTCATCTTTCGGCTCCTGTTTTCCCGCTTGGCTGTTGATTTTTGTCAACCTAATACAAAAGGCAAACAAAATTTGTGTTGGCATTTGGTTAGATTTGCCTGAGAGGGTGGAAAATGGGTGGAAAATGGGGGTGGTGGTGGGCAGATTAGTGAAGTGAAAGCGGGCAGGAAGTGGAGTTGTGGGTCGAAGTTCATGGGGCAAGTGGGCACTGGGGACTCGACTTGATGAAGGAGCCCGGAAATCAAATATTCGATGAGTTGTATGAATTACAGGTGGGTCAGAGGGAGGGGGCGGAAGAAATATCGAAGCGATTATCGGGTGTTGAACTGTAGGTAGGTTAAGGTCGCTTTTGAACCCAAGATACCTCTCGTAACCGCACCATTGCAAATTAAACAGATTTCAGTGGCCTATGGCTAATTTAGTAAAGAAACCTAAAAACAAATCCAATTTTCGCAAGAAGGCTATCCTATTAAGTACTATCATTCATTACCAAACATGTTGAATAATATCAAAGATGTGGAAAAATGTAATATTTATTTGTTCTCATTAAACCCAATTTCTTTTATTATTGGCTTGCAATATTTTTGGAATTTTTCGTTTCCAATTATCACACTCATTTGGTCAAATATTATCCAATAAGGCAATGCCCCACTTCAGGGGAAAGAAAAACAGCTGGGTGAATGCATTTCCCTTTCATTAAGGGTTTGTTGTTGTTGTTGTTGTTGTTACGGGTGAAGCTGGTCGAGATTGTTGTTGTTCTAGTTGTTGTTGTTGTTGCTACTGCTGCCGTTCGTGAATTTGTTGTTGCAGCTGCAATTGGCCACCAAGTTGTGGCCCACATTTTGGGTGTTTTTGTAGCTGCTCTCGGTTCTGGCCAAAAAAAGCTTCCACTTGAGTGATCCCCCCCTCCCCCCGTGCCAGCCACGCCCTCTTGTGCCGACGCCCTCGAAAAGTTTCGTGTATGTATGTTAATTAAAGTCATTACGTGGAGGACGCCACTAAAAAGGAAACAAAAGGCAAAATGGCGAGCGGCTGCAAATCATACACAGCACAAAAAGATCATCTCATAGTATCAATATTTAATACTTTCCTGCTTAATATTCCATTGGTTAATATTTTTTTTGTAAGGATAACTAAAAATGGTAACTTATTAATAAATAATGGGCTTACAAAATAGGCATTTAAAGTAACTAAGATTTATAATTTATTAAAATGAAATGTTGTCAAAAGGTTAGTTATATATAGAAAATTGATACTTAATGAATATAATATATACTCAAATAATATACATAAAGTAAAATAAAAGTACAAAGCTTTAAAATCAAATATTTCATATGCATTTGAAGTAAAATCATAATAAACGGGACCGCTTAAGAAATCCTAACTAAGAAATGTATGATCATTTTGCTCCGTGTATATGGTGTTACAGGGTCTGTTGGGGGGGTGTGGGATGTGGAAGGGGTGGCGGCACATACGCACGCACACACAATGCAACAACAACTACAAAGTGAAGCCAAACGCTGCGCCAAATTGGCCAATTTTCATATGCATGCCAAGCAGCAAAGGCAGGAGCAGAAAAGCAGGAGCATCAGAGCTCAAGGCAACAACACACAGGGCCAAAAAGGGAATATTGGGAGGGGGTAGGGGGGAAAGTGGGTAGGAAAATCTCCTCTTTGGCATTGACATCAATGAATAATTTCAGTTGGTGGAGCGAAGGGGGAACCAAATGGTTGTGTGTGGCCCAACTGCAGACGCCACGTGTCAGGAGCATTGTTGAAATAACGAAACATGTGAGACGATTACACTGAGAGAAATGTGCAAGTGCTGACCAGTTACAAAGATGAAGGCCTATATAACTATAAATTCTTTACACATATGAACTAAAAACTAGGTCTTAAACCTTAAACATTTTGTTTAATAATAACAAACTAAAAGTTTTCATGATTTTGCCACAATTTAAATTATAATTTTAAATTAGAAAAAATATATATGTAGATATAGATATAGAATAGAATTATTTACCAAACTGAGAACTATTAAAATATGATTTCATGATTTTGCTACAATTTAAAAAAAAAACTCTTAAAAGGGTTTCTAGAAGATAAGATATAAGAGCCTTTTTTAAGACTTCTTCGCTGTAATTTCATAGCCTTTAAGGAAACTATGATTAGTCTACAAAGCACCTACTTTTTCGCATTCTGCCTTTGAATAGCCCTTGGATCAGTGGCTTTTCTGGCAGTGTAATTGTCCTTTCATCGGCCTTTCCATCGGCATTGGCATCACCATCCGCCATCCTCTATCCAGCAGCCACCACCTCACATCATCCTCGTCTGGCGCTCTAATGATGCACAACATGCACAAAATGTGTTAATGACAAACCAACCGACTGCCGTCGACTCGTGTGCTCTTCTTTCCTAGCACTCGATCGCCGCCTAATGAGTCCCGCCCAAACCTGTTGCCCTTTTCCCCGGGGGGCGGGGTGGGGCTATCCAAAAGGGGGCGTGTCTTGGATGGGGGGGGGTGGTTGGATGGTGGTTTGTGGGGGCGAATTGTATAGCTCTCCTTGAGTTACTTTTGCTTTTCAAATCGATGCTGCCGGTGCTGCCAGAGTGAAGCAAATTAAATTGCAGCATGAAATCGAATTGCCAGCAGGCAGCTGAGGCATTCAAATGGTGAGCAAAAGGGAGGGGAAGGGGGAGGGGGCTGGAGTAGGTATCCATAAGATACATTCTGGGCCTGGTCTGCTCCAGCTGCAGCTGCTGCTCTTTTCCGAGCAAAAAGGAGTAACAGGAAGAGGATGAAGCCAAGATTCAGCAGACTTTAAATTGCTTTTGCCCACCTCCTCTCACCTGCAAAAAAAAAAGAGGAAAAAAAATTGAGAAAATAGATGCTGCAAGAAGAGTTCGTTCTACAAAGTGTTCGATTAAAATAGATATTTTTATGGCTTTTGCATTCGAAAATTGCATTAGGCAAGTGGTTGCCCTTCTACGAAGTGTAAGGAAGAATTGTTTTCATAGCCCAGATCGGTCCATAAAGATATCGACGTTTTAAGGTGGAAACCCATTTAATGTGATCCAAGAACTTTGGTCAAATAAATTTAACAAATTTACATGAAAGTTTGTATTCCTTAATAGCACAAATTCAAATATGCATATAAAACAACCATGCAAAAGGCATTTGATTGTTTGAACTCTGCCTTTTTTTCTGCACTTTGAATCATCAATTTTTAAGGATATCTGCGAGTGCATATATGTTTGATAAACCCAATGCCAAATCTTAATTGAAAAATGCATATCAATATGTTATTTTTTTAATTTCCTTTTTTGTGTTTTTTTTTTGTTTATAGTGCTCGAAACAACTCAATCAGGCAAAATCAAAATGTTGCAAAAATGCAGCAAATAAACGGCATATTGTTGTCATTGTTGTTGCCGTGTTATCATGGTTTTTTGCGTTGCATTTGTTGTTACTTTTGTTGGCAACGCCTCGGCAAGACCACAAACAACTCGTTAGAATTTGCATGTGAAATGCAATCGTCCAAAATAAAACGAAGCCAAATAGGAAATAGCCAAAGCTAAAAAACAGCGAAAAAATCTTAGAAAACATAGCTGAAGGTGAGAACGTGATTGCCGCATTTAAGGGAATAATTATTATTTTTACCATAACCAATAAATTATAACCAATTAATTATGATTATTTGTATCGTTTTTCAAAGTTTTTTTTGAAATTACTGATGAACTCGTGACACATTCAAAATCACGGAATGAACTCATCTCTAAGCCAAACATACAAAGCTAACAAAAAAGGTGAAAACAAAAAAGGCGCAAACATTTCCGAGCTTTGTTAAGTGGAAAAGAGATGGGCATACAAGCGAGATAGCGTTAGACTTTTCCGGATGGTGTGGGGGAAATAGAAATATCTACGGGCAATGGAAATTGGGTGTTCCCACAACAGCAACATGGGCATTTGGCTATATAGCAGCGGATGGCTATCAATTTGATATATCAATCAGAGTGAGGGCCAAAAAAAAAAAAGAAACACAAATAAAAATCCAGTCGAGAGGAAGGGAAATTCATTTGGATTTTCTGGCCTCCTGCCCCGCCCCTTTTTGGGGGCGTACAGAAAAGGGGCGGAGAGGCGTTTCAACGAAAGAGTTTGGTGTGAACACTAATAGCCTGAACCTATTTCCATCGTCACCACACTTCGGATATAGCTAGTTTGGATTAATAAAATCATAACAATATCTTACTGTTGTTTATAATTCTTTTTAGTTCTTAAATTAAGTTTCAAAAACATACATATCACAATTAATTCTTCCAAGTTCTGCTTTTAAAAGTGTGTCCATAAGTAAAGCTTTTAAGAATATATGATTTCATATATGTATGTTTCACTTTTATGACTTGTTTTTCTTATTTTATAGCTTCAAAGTTATTATTATTTGTTTATGCAGTAAATAAGGACTTTGACGTCTTAATAATACTCAGAAAAACAAACATATAAGCATCGCATCCTAAGTCGATATTTGATATGGTTTTATTATTTTCTGTCCGTTAATAGCCCCCAAAAACTTGGCCTTGAGCTGGACTTACATGTGCATGTGCTTATGTGTACATATATTACATATACGTTCCGGTTTTGTCAGTCTGTTTCTAGGATTATCTTGGACACACGCTGGGGCACTCATAAAGGGCGGCCTGCCCTCTGATTGATTTATGTTTTTCCCCCCACGCACTAAAAGGGGGTGAGCGTGGGGAGGGGGGGGGGTGGAGGCAAGGGTGGCTCTCGTCACTAGCGTTTTTTTTCCCGACTCCTCCTTGGCCTTCTTCTGCTTCTTTTCAGCCCGGCTGGCTCATTTCTCCTTTGACTGTTAATAGCTTTAATGCTGTTTTATGGCATTTCGTGGAGAAAGGGCCACAATTTAGTTAGGGTGGGGGAGGTTGAAGGGAGGGGGAGGGGCCGAGGAAGGGGTGGAGTTGGCAAGGGGATTCACAAACCGGGGGAATTGTACACATTGGGATATGGAACTGGAACTGAAACCGAAACTGGAACCTGGCATGCCAACGCCAAATGTTTTACATGCGTGCCTTGCCAACACTCAGAAAAAATATGTCTGCAATTCGAAATTACTATGAGGAATTAAAAAAAAAATTATAGGGTTTAATGAAATAATTAATTAACTAAATGTGACAAACAAACAATCTTAAAGTTTTGCATATAAATAAGGAAGAATTTACTTCAATACGAAAGTACCTACTTTAGGATCGTTTAATTTCATATTCAATATTGTAATACTTTTGTATTTTTTTTGTATTGGGTATTATGAAATGGGAAATTCTATAGAATTCCTATATTGTTAGGGGTCCTTATGCAAAAAACAAACAATTCGAAGATACTTACGTTAATACAAAAGTACCAACCTTAAAATCGTTTAATTTGATATTTAAAATGGTCATACCTTTTAGAAAACGGTTGGCATTTTTGTTTAGCTTTTTCTCAGTACCACCTGGGTATTTTTCGAAGTGCATCCCGTCCGCCACTTAGTGTGGCAACAATGTTTGCGCATAAATAAATTGGAATCGACTGCGGGTGCGAGTCGTGGAGTTGTGTGGTGCTCATAATTCCAGCTTTTATTTGTGGGATTTTGGCATGGCATGTCAGTCATGCATCTCTGAATCTCCCCCAGCATTTTTCTCCATCTCTGTCTCCATCTCTGTCTCCATCTCTGTCTCCGTCTCTGTCTCACCCTTGACCATCCTCCACTTTCCACGCTGATTAATGGCTTTCCGTATTCCACAGATGATGCTCGACGACTCCTGTTGCTGCTAAAACTTCGAGAAGCAAGCAGGCCACGCCTCCCGCCCCCGGGAGAGAATCCTCGAGAGAAACTCGCCAGATCGACTTAGATATTGACTCCACAATGTATCCGGCCAGTGGCAGTGGAGGCAGTGCAGCAACAGCTGCCAAATTCCAGAATCGCTGTGTATCGCCGCAGTTTGCCAACGAGTATCCGCATCCACATCAGCACCAGACGACGTCGGTGGCGGTGCACAGTGCCCCGCCGGGAATGGGCGGTGGTAGTGGTGGTGGTGGTGGCGGCGGTGGTGCTGGCGGTTCCCTGACCAGCGGTGGCTCCATGTCCATGCGTCACGGCCAGCGGGCGGTGGCCGCCTCCCACCAGCATCCCGGCCAGATGACCCTGAACCACGGCGGTCACGGCATGGGCATGGGTCACAACCACGGAGGCATGGGCATGGGAATGGGCGGCCTGGGATTGGGCCACAACCACGCCACAATGGGCCATCCGCACTCGCACAACAGCAGCCACCATGTGGGAGGACATGTGGGCTCGCATCTGATCTTCCCCGACGACATGGACAGCATCGAGTTCTGCATGCCGGCGGCGCCCTCCTCCTCGTCCGCCTCCTCGCAGAACGGCCTCGGGATCGGGGACCAGCTATTAATGGGCAGCCAGCACGGCGAGGCGTTCACGGAGCGCCGAAGGAGGGGTCACAGTCGGCGCAGCAACCACAAGATGGACGTCGAGCAGCAGGTGAGTCGGGATCAGTCGGGTTCATCAGTCACGGTTGGACCAACTAATCTCCCTCCCATCTCATTTCTCTGCACTTTCGGAAACCAGGTCAAGTGGTCTCGCAAGAACATAGCCGCCACCATGGAACGTTTCGAGCCCACGACCAACACACAGTCCTCGTCGTCCACTTCGTCGCTGGACTACGGATTCGCCGCCGGCGTGATGACGCCCAGCGGCAGCAGTGCCACGCCCTCGCACGGCGGTGGCGCCTCCAATCCATCGCTGCACGTGGCCTTCAACGGTGGAGGAGGTGGTGGTGGTGCAGTGGCTAGCGGTGGCTCAGCCTCGGGATCGGGAGCGAGTGGAGCCAGTGGCTCGGGAGCAGCTGCACCGTCGGCGCCCTTCAATCACGTCTACTCGTATGCCTACTACGAGCCGGGGGCAGCCAAGTGCCACACGAACGTGCCGCCGGCCCAGGGATCGGGCTCCTCCAGCTCGGGATCGGGACAGGGGCAGGGACAGGGACATGGCCAGGCCCAACAGGGCCACTCGAAGAGCCCGCCGAGGAACTCCATACGCGCCCTGCTGGCCAAGAGCTTCCGCTCGAAGAGCAGCAGCACCCACAACCAGGGTGGCCAGTCCACCTCCAGTTCGCCCAGTGCCGAGGAGCGGGACCGGCATACGTACACCACCCGCTACGGCACCACCGAGAACCTGTACGAGGAGGTCAGCGACCAGAAGATCCGCAAGGTCCTCTCCGACAACCGCATCGCCAGCGGCTCCAGTGCGGGCAATGTGAAGGAGGAGCAACGCCGCGTGCAGCACAACCACTTCCGGGTGCTGGACGAGCTGAATCTGTCGCTGGAGGCGCTGATAATGCCGCCCACACCGCCGGACGTCAGTCCCAGTCACGTTTTGGGCGGCGACGAGCCGTTGGGCACATCGGTGTCCGTGTCCGTGTCCGCCGGCGCAGTTGGCGGATCGGTGGCATCCAGCGCGGCGGCCGGTCCCTCTAAGACCGCCCAGCGACCGAGGCGGGGTGGACTACTGGGCGGGGCCGCCGGTGCCGGGGCCACCTCCAACTCGAGCTCCGCCTCGCACGCCAGCCTGGAGAACCTGTCCAGCACGCTGAACAGCATGGAGCTCAAGGATCACGGCCACAGCAGCTGCATCAATCCGGAGTTCGACGAGGGCGACCTCGACTCCGGGTTCAGTGGCAGCGGCAGCAGCAGCGGGGCCAGCTACAACGAGAGTCTGCGCTACTACAAGTCCGCCACGCCCACAGGACCGCTGCACCACCACCAGCACAGCCACAACCACATGCACAGCCACCAGCAGCAGGCGCTGCACCACCAGCAGCAGCAGCAGCACCACCACAGCCTGAACAACAACACCTTGCCGCACAACCTGCGCAGCTGCCGATCCTCGACTGCCTCGGGCACCTCGACCTCGAAGAGCAGCATGGCCAGCTGTGGCGAGGATCAGGGCATCGGCATGACCTTGGCCGTGGGCGGAGGCGGCGGTGGTGTGGGTGTGGGTGGTGGTGCTTTGATGATGCACGAGGCAGCTGGCGGCGGCGGTGGCTCGCTGTCACCCTTCAACTATCCACGCCGCTGTTCGGCGGATCAGCAGCGCGCCTCGGGCAGATCCATGGGCTCCAACGTGGGCCTCGGACCGGGAGTGGGCGTGGCCGTGGGCGGAATGGGCGGCATGGGAGGTGGCAGCATGAACAGCAGCAGTAATGTGGCCTTGTCCACCGGAGCGAAACCCAAAAAGAACTTCTGGACCATGAAACCGTGATGCTACAAAAAGGCGCTGCGTCACATTTGCAAGAAATGGACTATTGTTATGGTGAGTGCTAGTAGTAAATTAAATATTTTAATCCTATAATCTAAATCATATTGACTAGAGAGCAAAACCAAATGCATTCCCTCAAGCAGTTTGGCAATCACAAGTCATTTGCCTCAATCTGCCATAACTTCTCATGGAAAATCAGATCACATACCCACACAACACACACATCGCTGTGATTGCCATTGTGGTTAACCCCTTTCAATAGTTGATTACTTTTTATGGCCATTTTGTCATTTAAGATCATCTGCCATGATTATCTCCGTCGCCATCTCGATATTCCCACCCCCACCACTCAATCCCAACTTCCACTTCCATCTTTCGTCTCTTTCACTGCCATACTCCCATATATGTATAGTATATATGCCGACTGCTTTTGGGCATCAATTTCAACTTTTCAACTTTAATCATAATAAATTTGCGGCCCCGTTTTCCAGCCACGGCCATGGCCATATAGCTTATACGTCGCTCCATTTCACAATCAACGAGATACTTCCGCTGTAGAGGAAGCAGATCCGAGTGAGATCTGAGCAGGGGGAGGGGGTAGTGGGTAGGGGGTGGAGGGGGTCGAGGACTATCCGCATTCCCAAGATAATAAATTTATTAACTGAGCGGCCCGACATCATCATTACCCGGGCGAAGCGGGCAAATGTTTTCATCCCTTCTCCGCCGAAATGAATCAATTAAAACTGATTGAACTTCATAGATTTCCTCCCCCTATACACATATATATACATATATATATATATATATATATTTTTTTTTATCTTCTTCAGACCGAAAAATAAGAAGAATTCATTTATAACTGAAACTGGGCTAATCCGCATCGCTCATCAGTTTTTTTTTTGTTTTGGGTGAGGGATACTCCGGGGCCACATATGCCCCCATTTTTATACTGGTCACGGGGATTACCCCGAAGAGATGGAAATGGGTAGGAAAACAGTAGAAGTAAGTGGTGGAGGGGAGGGGTGGCGAAGTGCAGAGCATTAAGGCGCCTGTTGAAATGTTCGCAGACCGAAAGATGCAGCCATCTCTCTAACACCCCCTTTATTTTCCTTCTTCCACTTCCAACCCCCCACCCGTCTTTTTTTCGGTGTGTGAATAATACCGTTATTCATTGCATTTTGTTATAAATCTGTCAATTTGCACAATTGTGCGTATGAACCAAAGCTCCACTGCAAATAAATATTGAGAATAAAAATAAGTACATTTAGAACCAATTTCAATTAGTTTAGTATTAATTATTAGTATTTTTATTGTTCAATGAACTTAAGAATGACTTTTCAATGTAGTTAATGGTTATATAACTTTTATTTTAATCCTTATTTGGTCATTTCGAAGTTTTGAAAATATAGACAAATAGTGATTTTAGATAATGTAATATCGAATAATAAACTTTTTTTTGTAGTATTAATTTAGTTAATTAGTAGCTTTTAAGTTGTAAAAGTATTCATAGTTAGAAAAAAAGTTGTATTAATTAAAATACAGATTAATTTGGAACATTTAAGATCCGTAGTATTTTTTCTGAGTGCAAGGATGCTTTATGCCCTATGCAATTCGACAGGGTTCGCAAGGGGATGCAATGAGAGTGCGTCGAGGGGAAAGTGGGACGTGGAAAGTGGAAAGTGGAAAGTGGAGAGTGGGAGGGCAACACACTTCAGCCCTCGGGGGCAGGGTCGCACATGTGTGGCAGCCGCAGGGTGCACGCTCTTCCTGCGCTTCTCGCATTTCGGCGGCGACCATAAAAAATCTGTTGCGAAAAACTCGGAAAACAATTTTTACTCGGTAGTCCTTAGGGTATGATGGCTGGCAAAATAATAATTAACCTTTGCAAATTACATTTTTAACTGCCTTTAATTTGGATAAATACCTACATATTTGCTTAGTAAAGAGAGGTATACAAAAACTGATTTTGAAACATGCAAATGGTTAGTTTAATTTGTTATCGCTCTGTTTGTTGTCAGATTCTTTAAGTAGTTCCTAAGTAGTTTCCTCCAAAGTCATGACCTTTTCAGAATTTCCAAAACCTTTTATAAAAACAGGGTATCAAGAGCATCGATTCCTTAAATTATGCAACCGTTTCCTTTGCCGTTCAATGTTGTTGTTCCGCTGTTGCTGTTGTCCGCGTGTTGATTTATATTCGAAACTGCGCCGAGGCGCAACTAATTTGCCTCGGGTGTTAAGTAGCATGTGAAATAAACGCAACGGGAGAAAGCCAAACACTGGAGGACGTGGAGGGAAAACTGGGCTGGAAAAGCGGTGGAGGCAGGGGGAGGGGGGCGGCGAAATCTCTGAAAAGGGAAACTCGACTGCATTCAATGCCGTTTGAATGAATGGCTGCATGATATGCGAGCGAGCGAGTGTGTATGAATGGTCCATTGCCGCTCCATGAATAAGTGACCGAGTGCACGGGTGTGCGGATCAGGAGGTCCCGGCAATATATGCCATGTATGCTATATATGTGTATATAGCACTTCTTATTCAATCGCTCCCCGCACAGAACATTTTTGCGAAGAAACTTCCGGAGTCATTTATGAAATCGGCCAAAAGAATGCGAGCACTCATTCAGCAACCAGTTCATTTTGCATTGGGCCATTCATTCGCCTCCTAGCATTCACCTTGAATTGGGGCTTTAACAGACATGTTTGGTAACTTATTAAAAAAGAATTTAAAAAGTCTTGAATTAAAATAAAGTAAGCCAAACAATTTTAAAAGGAAGAGAAATACATAACTGCCACACTAGATATAATAGATATTTGCAAAACAAAATAATATATGAACTAAATGTAACTTTCAAATTTTTTATAAGCTCCTTGCTTCTTTAAAGGTTTTCCTTTCAAAAACTTCTGTCTCCATTCAATATAGATGAGTAATAGTAGTTGTAGAATTGACCCTCATTCCACTTTCCCTATCCTATTCATTTATTTAAGACGACTTTGTCGAAGGCATTCATTTTTTGTGGCCATTGGGATGTGAGCATTTTCTGGGTACTCCAGACACAAGTTTGGCTACAAGCCCAGACATCTCATCATCATCATCTGTATTAGAATCTCACCCTTGACCCCAGCCCTCGGGCTCCCATTCTATCCCAATCCCTCCTCCGATTCGGATACTTGGCTCATATGTGACCCAAAACTGGTCCTTGGGCAAGTCTATCTGCAAACGATTTGTGCACACTCGATTTGACAGTCAGTCAGTCAGTCATTCAGTCGGTTGCTGTTTCCCTATTTTATTTTTTTTTTTTGTCGTTTGGGGGAAAATTGTAACCCTTTCCCATTTCCCTTTGCACCGAGAATCGTTTAAATGTAGCCAACAATAATAAAACATTTTAAACTTGCGCGCCGGCTAATAAAGCAAAGGGAAAAGAGCGGAAAAAGAGGAAAAGGAACTTGAAATGAAATCAGAGCTACATCGAAATGGGGAAAATGTGGGAAATGGGGGAAAACGTCTGCTTTTCTGCTCTGGGCAAATATGAAAATGGATCTCGGGGAGACCGACGACGATTTGGGGATTCCGGAGAGCCGGACAATGGAGATAAGGAGGGAGCCAAAGGATTTTGGGGCGACTGTAGCAGTAGCAGGAGGCACATGTGCTGGGAAATCGGGCATAAACATTCACTTAGCCATAATAAAAGCCAAGCCGCACACAAAATACTCAAATGAACAAAATTTCTATTTAAACAGCGGTGGCTAGCGGGGATTGAGAATCCGAGGGACCGGAGTTAGGGGTCAGGGGTCAGGGTTCGGCACTCCGCTCGGGGGCAAGCTGGAAATTTGTCAGAAGTTTGGCTGAATGAAACGTTCCTGGTTGACTTTTCCCGGCGAGATTGCGCCGGACTGATTAAAAATTGAATGATGAAGGCCCCGAGACGATGACGCTCAAATCGAAATTGTTAAACTTGCCACGGATGTGGAAGGGGCATGCTGGATTTAAGGGGTTGGAGAAGGAAATTTTAGGGGCAGCCAAAAAAAGCCAACAGGCCTTATTCTTATACAACACTCTTTACACGGCAAGAGAAAGTTCCACTTGAAGTTGAAAAGGGAAAATAAATAAAACACTATTTAAGCATTCTGTGATCAAACAAATTAGTTCAATTAGTCTACATTTATGGAATGCCTTTTATTCATTAATTTGAGTTGATATAACAAAAAAATATGCAGAATGGCATTTGAACAAATCAAATTATTTGGTCAATTAAATGCCATTTTCAAAAGGCAAAAATAGTTCAAAAGTAATTTAAACTTAGTATGTAGACCAACCAGATGGCATTCTAATAATGGCAAATAGTTTTAAATATTGGGTAGAAGACAAGTGCATGGGAAAACATTTATTTTAGTTACTATTTTTAATGCGCTTTAAGAATGCCTTAACTTAAATGTACATTGCAATATTCCCTAAAAATTCCTTTTGTGAATTGCGCTTTGCTTTTAGTGTCCTTCTGACATTAACAGCTTATTTTCGCGTCTCATTAAACTGATGCGTATTTGCCGGATAACCATTCTATCCACCGAAGTCCAATGCGCAGTATTTCTGCGAGTGTAGCTGAGTGGAAGGAAAGCGAAGGCAAACCTTAACCCGCTGGCGCCAAAGTCGCGTGGGTAACACAATAAATTTGCAAGGACAAGGACTCGCTTGGTCTGGTTCGTACTCCTTGGTCTGCTCCTTTCATTGGCAAGGCGCCAAGCCAGCGGATTGTCCAGGGGAACGGCATGGCTGAGGACACAGGCGGACGGACAAACGGACGGACAGAAGGACGGACAGACGGACGGACAATGGCGTAACGGCGGAGCCAGAGGACAATGCCAGGCGTAGAGCAATAACACACACTGGGTTTTGGGGGTGGCTCAACGGTAGCACTAGCTGGTGGTGACATTGTCCGCCCTGCGCTCCTGTCATACGTTCTCGTGTACAAGTGCACCGCAAAAAATTCCACATCCATGACATTAAATATTTTTTTAGATAAGACAAATATCAAATGAACTAACTCTAGTCTCTATACA